TTTCCATATTGAGCTTGAATTTTGTGACCGTTCTAAACTCATTGATTGCATATAATTTTTTTGTAGATTCTTTAGCACTTTGTATATAGATGATCATGTTGTCTGTTAATCAGGGCAGTTTTACTTCTTGTCCAATCTGAATGCCTTTTGTTTCTTTTATTTATTTCTTTTTTTTTCTTTTCATCTTACTACATTGGTCAAGACCTCTAGTAAAATATTAAAGTAGTGAGAATGAGCATCCTTGCCTTGTATACTCTTTTAGAGAGAAAGCACTGTGTCTTCCACCATTAAGTATGATGTTAGTTTTAGGTTTTTCACAGATGCCTTTTATAAGACTGAAGGAGTTCCCTTTGATTCCCAGTTTTCTGAGTTTTTATTGTTGAATTTTGTCAGATGCTTTTTTTGTATCTCAACAATCACATAGTATTTTAAATTTTTCTGTTAATATGGTAGATTGTATTGATTAATTTTCAAATGGTAAACCAGCCTTGCAGTCCTAAAATAACTCACACTTGATCATGATATATTGCCCTTTTTATATAGAGTTGCAAAATTTGTTTAGGAATTTGGGTCTATAATCATTAGATACGTTGGCCTGTAGTTTTTGTTTTATTTTCTCTTTTAATGTATTTATCTGCTTTTGGCATCAGAGTAAGACTGGCCTTATAAGATGAATTGGGAACTGTTCTTTTCTCTATGTTTTGAAAGAGCTTGTGTAGAATTAGTATTATTTTTGCTCTAAATGTCTGGTAGAATTCACCAGTGAAAATGCCTGCCTGGAATTTTCTTTGTGGGGAGTTTTAAGTAGCTAATTCAATTTCTTTAATAGATGCAAGGCTACTTTCTATTGTGGTTGTGCTTTTTTTTTTTTCTATTCTAGGGCTTTATCCATTTCGTCCAAGTTATTGGGTTTGTTGGCATAAAGTTGTTCATAATATACCCTTATCTTTTTAACATCTATAGGATCTATGACATTCTCACTTTGATTCCTGATTTTGATAATTTGTTTCTTCTTTTTTTCTTCATCTGTCTAGCTAAGAGTTTATCAATTTATTAGTCTTTTTATATAAGTATTTTTTATTGCTTTTTCTCTGTTTGTTTCTATCTCATTGATTGCCACTTTTTATTTCCTTGCTTCTGCTTTCTTTGGATTTAATTAATTCTTTTTTCTAGATTCCTAAGATTGTAGCTTAGATCATTGTGGGATGGAGTTATAGATGAAGCAACAGGAGACATATGCTGATAATTGTTAGAACTGGACAATGGATACTTGGAGTTTTATTCCGTTATACTGTTTTTTTTTTAAACGTTTATTTTAGGTTCAAGGGTACGTGTGCAGGTTTGTTACATAGATAAACTTGTGTCACAGGGGTTTGTTATACAGATTACTTTATCACCCAGATACTAAGCCTCATACCCATTAGTTATTTTTTTCTGATCCTCTCCCTCTTCCCACCTTCCACCCTCAAGAGGACCCCAGTGTCTGTTGTTCCTTTCTTTGTGTTCATGAGTTCTCATCATTTAGCTCCCACTTATAAGTGAGAACGTAGAGTATTTGGTTTTCTTCTCCTATGTTAGTTTGCTAAGGATAATGGCCTCCAGCTCCATCCACGTTCCTGAAAAAGGCATGATCTTGTTCTTTTTCATGGCTGGATAGTATTCCATGATGTATATGTACCACATTTTCTTTATCCAGTCTGTCAGTGATGGGCATTTAGGTTGATTCCATGTTTTTACGATTGTGAATAGTGCTACAATGAGTATTTGCATGCATGTATCCTTTTGGCAGAATAACTTATATTCTTCTGGGTATGTACCCAGTAATAAGATTGCTGGGTCAAATGGTAGTTCTGTTTTTACCTCTTTGAGGAATCGCCATCCTGCTTTCTAAAATGGTTGAACTGATTTACGCTCCTGCAAACAGTGTGTAAGGGTTCCCTTTTCAGCAAAGTTTCAGGATACAAAATCAAAGTACAAAAATCACTAGCATTCCTATACACCAACAACAGCTAAGCAGAGAGCCAAATCAGGAAGGCAATCTCATTCACAGATGCTGCAAAAAGAATAAAATACCTAGAATACAGCTAACCAGGGAGGTGAAAGATCTGTACAATGCGAATTACAAAACACTGCTCAAAGAAATCAGAGATGACACAAACAAATGGAAAAACATCCCATGCTCATGGATAGGAGGAATCAATATCGTTAAAATGGTCATACTGCCCAAAGCAACTTACAGATTCAGTGCTATTCCTACCAAACTACCAATGACGTTCTTCACAGGACTAGAAAAAAAACTATTTTAAAATTCATGTGGAACCAAAAAAGAGTCCAAAGAGCCCAGGCAATTCTAAGCGATAAGAACAAAGCTGGAGGCATTATACTACCTGATTTCATTATGCTGCTCTTTAAATGTATGTATATGTTTGAAATTTTTTATAATATCCAACTCTATAGTAATTATTTTCATATTTATATGCTATTGACATTCGTTTTTACATGGGTAGTTTCTATTTTAGATATTGGTAAACTACTTGTAGGATAGCTCCACAGAATTTCTTAACAATTAAGACTGTATATGCTTTTTAGTGGTTCTTATGGAACAGTTGCAACAGTGACATGAATCTTGATGCTGTAAGCTCTGGAAGAAATTGGGATACCTCAAAAACGATTAGTGGGGAAAAGAATGAGTAGTAAGTAATTGTTTATGGAAAAGCTGATGGATATATGTTCAATAATAGTACAATATCAACATGTATCTGCCCCTTGATAGTTCCCTCAAAGACCAAGTTTGTTAATAAAAATATCTGAATAATAATAATAAAACATTATTACTCAGTATAGTTGATGGGTAACAGGTATTTTTGTTATGTTATGTATAAATTTCTTATTATCCCCACCTTTCTCCATCCAGAAAAAGACATTTGTTATTACATTGCTTTTTAGGTATAACGGCATTAATATACCTATGTATAGATGTTAGAAAAAAATGCATGCACAAATATTCTATGTTTCATCTTTAGGAGTAGAATTGTGCATCTCACATAGCTTTTTCTATATACTTCTCTAGTGTTTTGTGTTGTTTTATCTTGTCTTTTTTAATCTGGAGCTTTCTGTTTGTTACTCATACTATATGGCACATTAGTAGTTTTTTTTTTTTTCAAGAGTCCCATTTATTTTTAGAAAAATATATGTGTGACCACATTTCTGTTGGCTGCTTTTTTGTCAGTAAATTCACATGCCAATTGCTTGGGTGATCTCCTTTTCTCTTTCATACTTAACTAATTATCCATACCTGCATACCAAAATAACAATGATGATGATAAGTTGTGCGGTGCTTTCGCTCTCAAATCAGTCAAGAATGGTAAAGTTATTTTATTTTGCTTTGCTTTAAAAGTAAACTTCCATCCACAAACAGAAACACAGGTGGATTCATGTTTTATTTTGCTAATACTTAAAGGAGATTCAGTGGTTGAAGAGTAGAGAAGCAGAGAATACCTAATCAGACATAAGGAGTAAGAGAGGGACCTTATAATTTATTTTAATATGAATGTAGGTAGCTCAGTTTTTTTCTTTTTCTTTTTTTAAGTTTTTTTTTTTAAGAGACAGGGTCTCACTCTGTTTCCCAGGCTGGAGTGCCATGGTGTGATGACAGTTACTTACTGAACTTCAAAGTCCTGGGCTCAGGCAATCCTCCTGCCTCAGGCTCCCAAGTAGTAGGACTACAGGTGTGTGCCATCACACCAGCTGATTTTTTTTTTTTTTTAAGAGATAGGGTTTTGCTTTGATGCCTAGGCTGGTCTCAAACTCATGGACTCAAGTGATCCTCCCACCTTAGCCTCCCAAAGTGCAGGGATTATAGCTCTGAGCCGCCACACCTGGCTAGCTCATTTTTTGAGTGAGTATAAGTTTCATGCCTTTCAGGGGCTTGGCTTTGCTTCTGTAACACCATATTATCTGATTAATCATCCAAAACTGCACTTAAGTGTCCTGAATCTGAAACTTTGACTATACCTTTTCACATAATCTCTGATGGTTTTGAAATTATAGCCTGTGGCAGCAAGGTATAACCAATTTTTGCCTTGATTAATACCAGCTTGAAGTTCTACATCATCCCTAAATGTAGTCCTACTTTTAACAAGGAGTGAAGGACTGTATTTAAAATAGTTTTGCTACAACACTACAGCATTCTACCTTCTGGAGCTTCAAGTTATCCCTGCTTAATTTGTACGGTCTTGTTTTCTATACAGGTGTTGTCACTTGCTGCAGTAGCATAACACAGTGTTGTATGGTGCCGTAAGAAATAAAATTATATGTCAGATAAAATAGAGAGTAGCTACCAAAGTCAGATATTTCTCCCAAATGTTAATAGAAAGCAAGACAATATAGCACTGCTAGGCATTGAATCACATCTGTGGTACTTGTCTAGCTTTGTAACCGTGGCCAAATTATACATTCTCTTTGTGCTCTATTTTTCTCATCCATCCGATGGGAATAATAATACCTACTTTGCAGAATTGTTCCAAGGTTTAGATGAATTATTATGTTAGAAATATTTGTAAGTGTTAGCTATTATTACTAGTTCTTTCTGAGCCTTAGTATATGCTTTTGTTATAAAAGTTATTACATATACATGTTGATTTCCATGCCTTCTTTGTTAATCTGTTAGCCTGATGGTAAAATGCATTCTTTGTCTTACATATTTACCACAATGTGCTGTGCAGTGTATGTGCTTTTCAGTGTATGTAAACCTAGTAAATATAGTTGAATGAAGGTTAGAGTGAGAGCTAATATGTAGAAGACGTATTATTGGTATATAGCCTTTTAAAATAAAATCAACTTTCACTCTAGTTACAATTATTGCTATTTGACTTATTTTTTGTTTCAGAAAAATGTTTTTCAATAGATAAATAGAATGGCTATTATAAAAGTATGTCACTTAGTATCTAGTTCTTGTTTTCATCTGTTTTTTTTTTTTTTTTTTTTTTTTTTTTTTCTGGTGTGGTGCTAATGGAACTAGTGCCGCAGTGTGTCTGGAGAATAAATGTGGATATCCCTGAGGAAGCTAATCAGAATCTTTCATTTGGTGCTACTGAAAGATGGTGGGAGCAGACAGATTTGACCAAACTCATAATATCAAACAATAAACTTCAGTCACTTACAGATGACCTACGACTCCTGCCTGCACTGACTGTTCTTGATGTAAGTTGACTGACTATAAATATGGATTATTAATTGAAGAGACTCTAAAGCTAAATTTAGGCTTTGATAGCAGAAAACCTTTCATGTTGAGTTGGTAATGCAAGGACAGATAGTAAATTATTATGCTAGGCATAGCATAATGGTTAAAAGTGCAGGATTGGAGCACTAAGTTTCTAATTCTGACTTCTGCTACTCAATGGCTGTGTGACCTGGGAAGAGTTACCTCTCTGTGCCTTAGTCTCCACATCTATAAACCAAGACTGATACTACTACCTATTTAAAAATTTTGTTTGTAGAATTAAATAAGTTAATGAATACAAACAGAATCAATATGCAACAAGTGGTTATTTCTGCTCATCTTTTTTTCTTATTATTACTATTTTGCACAGGCAAAATAATGGCATGATCATGGCTCACTGCAGCCTTGAACTTATGGGCTCCAGCAGTTCTCCTGCCTCAGTCTCCCAAGTAGCTGGGACTATAGGTGCATGCCACCACACCCGGCTATTTTTGTGTGTGTGTAGAGACGAGGGTCTCACTATGTTTCCCAGACTGGTCTTGAACTCCTGTCCTCAAACTCTCCTCCTGCCTCAGCCTCCCAAGTGCTGGGATTACAGGCATGAGCTACTGCACCTGGCATATTGTTACTATTTTTATCATCATTATTCTAGATATTAAAGCAGGTCTATATGTATATATACTACTTGCCTTCAACCTCATTGGGTTCAATTATTGAACTTAAATTTTTTGTGTTTTTATTCAGGGATTCTTTTTAGTCCTTTGTTGCCATGTCCTGTGGTAAAGGGAACCATGAGTAGTATATTTCAGAACCTGCAGGCTTCACAATCTGGTATACTTTACTTATCAACATAAAAAATCCTCCAGTTCATGTGTAGAAAAGTAGAATCTAAACAGATCAATTTTTAGGGACCTTTTAATTTTCTTAATTTGTAAAATAAATGGATTGGCTTACTCTAAGGTTCTTTCTACCTTAAAAACTATGATTCTGTGAGAACATGAGAAAAGCCCCTTTCTCTTTTCTCATACAATTTTTGTATATATTGACATAAATCATGTCATCAGAGAGCTGTTTTTAGTTTCTAACCCCCTCATCTCTTCTTTGAAATTGAAACTCTACTCAATGAGTTGAAATTTTTCTTAGTGTAATATTTAAAGTGGATGACTTAACACTTCATGATTTCTCTCCCCTCCCCTCCCCTTGTCTCCTCTCCTCTCTTCCATTGTTTGAGACAGGGTCTCACTCTGTAGCCCATGCTGGAGTGCAGTGGCATAATCTGGGGTCACTGCAGCCTTGACCTCCTAGGGTCAAGCGATCTTCCCACCTCAGCCTCCTGAGTAGATGGGGCTACATGTGTGCACCTCCATGCCTGACTAATGAGAATTTTTTTTTTTCATAGAGACAAGATCTCACTAATTTGCATAGGCTAGTCTTAAACTCCTGGGTACAAGCAATTTGCCTTCTTTGGCCTCCCAAAGTGCTAGGATTACAGGTATGAGCCACTGCACCTGGCCTTACTTCGTGATTTCTGAACAGCCATTTGGTCATCTTCAAACTGTTCTACATACAGAACAAGTATGTTGAACAGTAGTTCAGTAGTTCAACTTGTTGCCATTGAATTGGAGGAACAGGAGATTATTGACTAATTGTTTTGTACACAGGCAAAGCTTATATATTGTTAGTGATAAGACTAAAAATATTGTCTTTGTCTTTTAAAAACTTTTAGATACATGATAATCAGCTGACATCCCTTCCTTCTGCTATAAGAGAGCTAGAAAATCTTCAGAAACTTAATGTCAGGTAAAAATTAGCTTATTTACTTCTATTATTGCCGTTATAATGGTTTAAATTTAATATTGTTTAAATTTTGTCAACATTAAAAATATCTTTGAATTATCTCAGTAAGTACTTAAAGCAGAATAAGAATTTTAAGTTTTTTAAAGCTTTAATTCTTAGTTTGTATGTTTTTTTCTTTGTTTTAGCATTACTCCCATGATTTCTGATTTTACTAATGCAAGGCTAGTTGATTTTTTTTAAATGCTTAAATTTTTTTTTTAATAAAACAATTCTTAGTGGTTTGTTATTGTAGTAAACCTCTTTGTTGACGTCTCAACTTTTAAGTTACCTTGATATTCTAAAAAATATCTAAACGATAATGAAGAAATGTAAAACAATTCTTTCATAAATGAAATATCTCGTAGTTTTTATTAGTAGTAGTTTTTAAACTTCTCCAAGGACTCCTGGGGTTCTACAGATATATTTTTGTAACTGTCATGGACGTACTGGTACATGGGATGTTCAGTGGCAAAGGGTCTAGCTAACTCTGTGTGCTTTCTGATACATACCCAGGCTTTTAAGAAATAATAACTTTGCCTTATGTTTGTTATATAGACAGGCTATGGGAAAGGAGATTTAAAGAGGTCTTATTTTGGAGTAGAAATAAATGGATTAAGAACTGAAAGCATAGTTTGAAAAACTGTGGCTTATAAAATAGGCATGGTTACAGAGCTATGTAACATAATATAGTCAAGTTTGTTTTCTGGAGATAAGCTAACTGGTTTGAGGGAAAATAGTCCCTCCCAGTAACACTCCTCATTTGATGGAAAACACAAAATTACCATTGGCCAGTGAAAATATATATACATAAAAAGGTACTAATTATTTAGAACTCTATCAGAGTATCTTCCACTTACAAGTCAATTTATAGACGTGGCCTGTAAAGACAAGAGTGGGGATTGTTGAGAGGAAGAGAAGAAGCAGTAAGTGTTGAGTGACATGGCTTAAGTTTTAGATTGTATACTTAAGAGTGTGCAGGTATGTTCTCAGTGGAGAAGTTTTAAAAAAAGTATGACTCTTAGGATGGAATAATTAGCTAAGAAAAGGAGATGGAGGAAATATATAGCTAAAATTACATCTCTTCCCAGTTAGATCCCTATCAAGTATGCAAAGATTTCAGCTAAGTAACCAATAACAGTAACTGACTTAACAATATTATTGGTTCTTGTTTTAGAAGACATGTTTCGACTTTTTTTGTCCCAACAAGTTTTACTGTAATTTAGGGTTATTGTAAGCACCTTATATTTCCCATTTTCCACCTGTTATTTGTAAAGTATCTGTATATGGCATGAAAATAGCATGGAATTCATAAGTGAATATTTAAGTTGTGATAAACCTGGGAACTAGTTCAGTCATCTCTTAATTATCACGGAGTGTATCATTCTCCATGATTTGGGACTTCTAAACCATTACGCTGAATATCTCTACAGAAGGGCTTAACTGAAAAGACCAAGTATGAAGAAGAGTGGAATTGCGTATTACGTTCAACTTGACATCCTAGGTCCTCAAACAGAAATAGCTATTTTTGCCTTAAAGCCGAATCTCCATATAAGATGTAACTCCATTGTGGTATATGTGTGCATATAGTTTTGTCAAAATTCTGAAAGTCAGTTATAGTATGTATTAGTCCGTTTTCATGCTGCTGATAAAGACATACCCGAGACTGGGAAGAAAAAGAGATTTAATTGGACTTACAGTTCCACATGGCTGGGAATGCCTCAGAATCATGGTGGGAGGCAAAAGGCACTTCTTACATGGCAGCGGCAGGAGAAAAATGAGGAAGATGCAAAATTGGAAACCCCTGATAAAACCATCAGATCTTGTGAGACTTATTCACTACCACGAGAACAGTATGGGGGAAACTGCCCCCATGATTCATATTATCTCCCACCGGCTCCCTCTCACAACACGTGGGAATTATGGGAGTACAATTCAAGATGAAATTTGCGTGGGAACACAATCAAAGCATATCACAGTGTAACAAATTAAGAGTCTAGTATGTCCTATCATATTGCATGTCACATCAAGAGTTGATTATAGGCATGCAATCAAAACATCACAAATTATTTACGTTTGGTTAAAAGCCTTTATTTCTTATGTTATTTTTCTTTGAAACCCCAATGTGGTTACTTTAGATTACTATTATTGTAATGAGTACATATTTTTGGATATGAATTTTGATAAGTACTTAAAATTAGTAACTATATTTGATTTTTGTGAGTCCAGTGTCATTGGTTAGCAAGAAATGTCTTTGATAAATATTTATTGTATTGCCACTAAATTATTCATCATTTATTTTATCAACCAATAGCCATAACAAACTGAAAATACTCCCTGAAGAAATTACAAACCTAAGAAATCTGAAGTGCCTGTATCTCCAGCATAATGAACTAACCTGCATATCAGAGGGATTTGAACAACTTTCCAATTTAGAAGATTTAGTAAGTTGTGATTTTCCAATTTTTATATAATTCTGGGCTGGTGGGATTTTTCATCAGGCTGAGAAATTAGATATATGATTGAAACTGTGGGAACATGGAAAACTGATTTTGTGATTAGATTATCAGAAATATGCATTTCAATTAGATAGCTAAATTTGTCATTGTAAATTTGGTTTTCCTGTATTATGAAATCAACTTTAAGTTTAAATTTAGGAAGACTTTGGGAAGGGTGCAATGAAGATTACTTTGTTATCCAGAGACTTTACAGCGTAGCAGAATAGAGGAAAGTTGTCTTTGGCATATACCAATTCTCTTTTCTATGCCCATTTCCATTTCCTTCTTTATATAACCTGTGGCCCTTCTGCATTCCAGATGCCCAGGTAATTCACTGAAGGTCCGTCTTCTCTACTTTTCAAAATGGCCACACTTCCTGGCAAAATTTTAATTCTATTGTTTCGCTTATCTTAAACAGAGATAACCATAAGGCAATACAAATATTATTTTAGTCATATATTGTTATTATTTTATTTTTGGGGGACAGGGTCTCACTTTATCACCCAGACTGGAGTGCAGTGGCGGGATCTCGCTCACTGCAACCTCCACCTCCCAGGTTCAAGTGATTCTCCTGCCTCAGCCTCCCGAGTAGCTGAGATTACAGGCATGTACCACTACTGCCTGGCTAATTTTTGTATTTTTAGTAGAGATGGGGTTTCACCATGTTGGCCAGGCTGATCTCAAACTCCTGACCTCGAATGATCCACCACCCACCTCAGCCTCCCAAAGTTCCAGCATTAATCAGGCTTGAGCCACCACTGCTGGCCTAGTGGTATTATTAAGAATAATAAAAGCAATAGACATTTTTCTTTGAGCATTACATATGGCAAGGTAAGCAGTTTTATCCCCTAATACAATAAGAAAGTGAAGCTGATAAAAAGGAAATTTGGAGCTGGGCGTGGTAGTTCGTGCCTGTAATTCCATCACTTTGGGAAGCCAAAGTAGATTTTTTGAGCCCAGGAGTTCGAGACCAGCCTGGAAAACATGGCAAAACCCTGTCTCTACAAAAAATACAAAAATTATCCAGGTGTGGTGGCACATGCCTATAAGTCTCAGCTACTCAGGAGGCTGAGGCAGGGAAGTTGCCTGAGACAGGGAAGTTGCCTGAGGCAGGGAGGTTGAGGCTTTAGTGAGCCATGATTGAGCCACTGCACTCCAGCGTGGGTGACAGGAGGCCCTATCTCAAAAAAAGAGAGAGAGGAAAGAAAAAGAGAGAGAAAGGAAGAAAGAAAGAGACAGAGAAAAGGAAATTTGTCAAAAGTAACGCAACTGATAAGTAACAAAATTAGAATTTGCGTATAAGTCAATTTGACTCCAAAGTGTATCCATCTCTTTTTTTTCCATTTTACCACCAAAGGAGTAAGATTCCACTGTAGGCTATACCATCTGAAAGACTTTAGCTGTATTAAATCAAATATACTAATATATAGTATCTACTCCACATAGTTAATTCATATTGCATTGTTATTCTTTTCCCTTTTACATGTTTTGGAAAGCTCCTGTCATTTTAGCTTGCTTTTCATTAAAGGAAGAAATTACTCCTTTTCTATTTTTGTTGTGTGTGCATCCTCCTTGATATTTCCCATCATTTTCTCTAGTGTTTAAAAGTCAAAACATATACTCTTCTCAACCATTCCTTCAATGTCTTCTTGTTTTTCCATATGATCAGATTGGAAATAAGGTTTGGAAAGTAAAAGGCGTAGGTAGATAAAATGAATGGCAAAGGAAGAAGCCATCAGATTTTCTTATAAAAATTGGTGGTAAAAGGTAGCAGTTGTTTTAAAAGAGTCCATTTGGAGTTGAGAACTGAAAGGAAAATTTAAAATAAATAAAATTTCTTCTATCCACCTTACATGTTCCCAGAGGCTCATTTGCATAATGAAAGGATGTTTCATTTCAGAATTGTGTTCTACGGACTCAGTGTCAAACCATAAATGTGAGCAACGATATATTAAAACAGATTAAACACCTATAATTTAAACTAGTAATATTACTAATATATACTAGTAATATAAGTAATAACTTATATAAAAACTGCTTAGCACAATGCAACTAATTAAATATTTGCTAAAGGAATGACTTGGCATAAATATGGATTAATTTATATACAGTGTATTTATGTTTTATATCAAGCAATTACTAACTGCAGTAATTATTTAACTTTATTAGTAATTTTATTTAGAATTTACAAGGGAGTTTATTAGAATTATTTGGGTTTTTAAAAATGCTTTGAAAATTTCTGAATTAAGTTTTTTGTTAATAATTATCTTAGGCTTTTTATTTTGGAATAATTTTAGGTTTATAGAAAAGCAAATATGGTAAAAGAGTTCTCATATACCCTACCTCCAACTTTCTGTAATGTTAATATTTGATATAACTACAGGAACACTCAAATGTTCACATTGGTACAATACTAATTAAACTGCAGACTTTATTTAGATTTTCCCAGTTTTTCCACTAATGTCCTTGTTTTTGTTTCAGAGTCCAATGCAGGATACCACATTGCATTTAGTGTTACTAACTTTTCATATTATAAAATATTTATTTATTAGCAGTCTTTTGATTCTTAGAGATTTTAGTATTAGAATTGTAGAATATGTTGTCTGTTGTAGATGATGGTAATATATTGTTATTATAAAATAATTATAGCAGTATGTTTTTTAAAAAAGATTTGATCCAGTATTTTTACCTTTTTCTATCTTCTTGGTTTCTTCAGAGTTACAAAATATTACTGTTAGATTAAATGAATTGTTTAGTGTTAGATTATTTAATGTTATATTACATGAAAATCTTCAGAGAATGGTTTTCCGTTCTTTAAAGGAAAACCATTTTTTCGTATTCATTGTTGCCATTGATACTACTTAACACTTTGTTAAAGAACACTTTGTTTAAAGAAGAACACTTTGTTTAAAGAAACATTGAGGTATAGCGATTATTTAAGCAATCTTGAGTGAATGAAGAGTAGAGGGTAGACTTCTAGTACCAGTCAGAGCTGACTTGCTGAGGTCAGCAGAAGAACCAACAGAAAATATTTTTTTCCCCTCAAAAATTTGAATGACCATTTTTTCAGCCTTATTTTTCCTTTTCTCAGGAATTTTTCTTTCTTGCAAAGATGTTTTTCATTTCACATGACAGTCTATTAATAATATGTCTAATTCTTCTTGGGCACTCCATAAATATTGGATGAATACATGAATTTTTGCATTGAAAATATGATGCATAATATGACATGACCTAGTTTTAACAGAATCTGTTATGTAAAATAGTTTTGAAGTTAGAATTCATTTATATCCTGTCTAGTACCATTGATGAACATATAGTGGGCCTGCAGATATTGAAAAAGAATCTTGAAATGAATGATGATCTGTGAAATTTTCAGTGAATGAGGGTGACAAAACTTATCACATCTTAAGTAGTCTCTTTTATGTTGTAATTCCTTCAAAAATTTGAAATCCTTTTTAGGGCATTATTTATTTATTTTTTTACTTGTTTATTCATTTATTTTGTCTTTCTGTTTTTAAAGGATCTTTCAAACAATCGTCTTACAACTGTTCCTGCTAGTTTTTCTTCTCTGTCCAGTCTGGTGAGACTCAATCTTTCTAGTAATCAACTGAAGAGTTTACCAGCAGAAATAAATAGAATGAAAAGTAAGTATTTTCTGTTTTATATAATACATAAATTTGAAGTTGATGCAACTGACATTTAGAAAGTAATTTTTAATATAGTTACAGAGAACTAAAGTAGTAGATTTTTATAGTGGTAAATGTGAACAATAGCAACGGGTCAGATTTTCTCCAGACCGTTATTATGTATCAACTGCCTAAAGAAATACTGTCATAAAGATACTTAGGCATATGAAAAAGAAGAAAATATGATTATTAGTTGTAATAGGATTATATACCTAAGCTATACTGTCTTTCATTCATTCATTCTACATTCATAGAGAGGTTAGTCCCCTCTTACTGGTGAATCTACCTATGATATGTAGTTGTATTAAAACTGTAGCCTCCTCATGGTCCATAAGTAATAGTGTCGAGAAATAAGTCTTGTTTTGTCTGAGGTCCCAGGTTGTCAATCTTTAAAAAAAAAAAAAAAAAGTCAAAATTTATTCCTTCTATTAAAGTTTGCCATCAAACCACAGTACCTGAAGTATTGTAGAACTAATATTAAGGGATTAAAAAAGTCAAGGTACATTTTAGTACCTTTTAAATTAGTATACTTCATTATAAAATTCTTAAGAGTCTAAAATCATTAGTGATTTTTTTGTTTGTTTGTTTAAAGAAACTGTTATTACCAGGCACCATGGCATGTGCCTGTAGTCCCAGTTACCCAGGTGGCTGAGGCAGGAGGATCGCTTGAGCCCAGGAAGTTCTGGGCCATAGTGCGGTTATGCCGATTGGGTGTCCACACTTAAGTTCAGCATCATTATGGTGACCTCCCGTAGTGGGGGACCACCAGGTTGCCTAAGGAGGGGTGAACCAACCCAGGTCAGAAACAGCAGGTCAAAACTCCCATCTGATCAATAGTGGGATTACCCCTTTGAATATCCAGTACACTCAAGCCTGGGCAACATGGTGAGACCTCTTCTCTCTCTCTAAAAAAGTGAAATAAAATAGATTAATTAAAAAAACTGTTATTTTGTTGTTATTTCTTGGTTGATGGTTAGTCTTTTTTTTTTTCCTGATATTTGTAAGCCTTTTTCAATTTTAAAAACCTCCCTTTTGTGGAGCAAGTCATAGAAATGATTGCCTGCATTCAGTTGCAGATAAGTTTGAGGTAAATTTCTAAAATTGTGTTGTTTTGCTTTAGATTAATAGTTATTTGTTGTTTAAAATTGGAGTTTTAAAATGTGTTAAATCTGCCCTAAATCAAATTGACATTTTAGGGGAGTCTTTACTTGGGATACCAATAGTTAAGATTTTCCTGTATTTGTCATTTTTTTCAATAAGGATGTTATAAAGAGCAGTTAAATGTAAAATATATCTAGAATGAAGATATAAGCAGCATGGACTTTTCATAAATTGAGTGGAAATATCTTGAGAGGTAGGAACATACAGATAAATCAACTGAAAAATACATTTGAGTTTATAGTAATTTTTCTAATATCCAATGTTATGACCAGATGCTTTCTGTTTCTCAGCCATGACAATGATACTTTTAAGCTATTACACAGAGTACATTTAGTTGTACTTTAACAGAGTACCAGAACTTTATTTTTAAATGTATTATGAAAATGACCTGGATTATTGTTAAATTGCCCAGGCTGGGGTGCAATGACGTGATCATAGCTCAGTGCAAACCTCTGTCTCCCAGGCTCAAGCATTCTTCCTGCCTCAGCCTCCCAAGTAGCTGGCACTACAGGCATGCACCACCATGCCCAGCTAATTTTTCTTTTTATTTTTAGTAGGGACGAAGTTTCACTCTATGTTGCCCAGGCTGGTCTTGAACTCCAGAACTCAAGTGATCCGCCCACCTTGGCCCCCCCAAAGTGCTGGCATTACAGCACAACTGGCCTAAATAATAATTTTAATATTACTATTTCTCTTTAATTATCATTAAATGTAGAAAAATTTACATTTATTTAATTCAGTGGTGTTTGAATATTCTTGATTATATGGCACAGGTTCATAAGTCCTCATAGCAATTTCTTACACATTCTTTAATGTTGTATACGATCAGAAACTAATTTTTTTCCTCTAGTATTTTTGTTTTTCACTGAATATATATTACAGGGTTGAAGCATTTGGATTGTAATTCAAATCTCTTGGAAACTATACCTCCTGAATTGGCTGGCATGGAATCACTAGAATTGCTGTATTTGCGGAGGAATAAATTACGTTTTCTACCAGAATTTCCTTCTTGTAGTCTGTTGAAGGTACTATTTAGTTGATTATTAAATAACTATTTTTTCCAAAAGTTAATTATTAAAATGCATTTTTTAAAGGAGCTAATGTTGTTTTACATTGGGACTATGTATTAGTTATAAGTACTGTGTTTTTCCCATGTTAATACTTTTCAGAATTTGAATATGATTACTTACATTGGTAGTATTTTTAGTAATACATTTTTAAAAAGAATTTTAAAAATAGAGATTTGTCCATTTCATCTGACCAGTAGTTCATAACTGGAGAAGTAGTAGATAAAGAGGCTAAAATTGTAAGTAGGAGACCTGGAATACCAACCAGGATTATGCACCTAATTCTATAAAGTGCCACCTCTTACCTTTACCTAATCATAATCAAGTATGTTTGAAATGAATTACATTCTTTTGGCTTTAAGTATGTAGAATTAATACTGTCTTCTAAATTTGCCATGGTTTGCCTTTTTTTATATATACCTTTAAGCTCTAGTGTTAAAAGAGTTTATTTTAAACAGAACGATGACATATAAAATGAACTGAAAAAGTTTTCCTTTAATTAAGAATAATTTTTCATCATCTGATAATTATAGTTTCTGTTAATGGCAAATCAGTATATAAAATAATCACTAATGAAAATGTTAAGTAACCAACTGATTACAGTTGATCCTTGAACAATGCAAAGGTTATGGGCATTGACCCCCATGGACTTGAAAATCTGTGTGTAGCTTTTGACTCCCCAAAAACTAGTGGTAGTCTCCTGTTGACCAGAAGCCTTACCAATAACATAAACAATTGATTAACATATAATTTGTATGCCATATGTATTATGTACTATGTTCTTACAATAAAGTAAGCTAGAGAAAAGAATCTTATTAAGAAAATCATAAGGAAGAGAAAATGTGTTTACTATTAATTAAATGGAAGTCAGTCATCATAAAGGTCTTCATTTTCATTGTCCTCATGTTGAGTAGGCTGAGGAGGAGGAAGAGAAGGGGTTAGTCTTGCTGTCTCAGAGATGGCAGAGGTGGAGGGAAATCCATATATAAGTGGACCTGTACAGTTCAAACCTATTGTTGTTCAAGGATCAACTGTGTTTATAGTACTATGCTGTATTGATACCACAATTTACATCATCTGCTTACAAGATGAATCCTGTGTCTAAAATGGTGAGCAACTTCAATCTATGGTATATGTCAAGCAATTCGACTTTTCTTGTAATGTCATGACTTTTCACTCCTTCTTGGGAGAACTTTCAGCATCACTAGTAGCACTTCATATTAGTCCCATGATGTTATTTGAAGTGCTACTAGTGCAGTAAACACTATGAGAAACACAAGAGAAACACAAGAGAACTGCAAGAGATCATTTTTTACTGTGACACGCAATTTACTGGAGAGGTGAGCTGCTCACCTGGAAATGATTAGCTTCATACAGGTTTTAAGTGGATACTCACAACATAGGCTTACCACCGTACCAACAAGAAGTGGCAACAAAATTATTACAATAGTACAGTATGTACTACAGTTAATTTTATGTAGTTATGGTTTTTCTTTTTTTGAGGCAGAGTCTCTGATTTATTATTGTTATTATTTTTTTTTTTTGAGGCAGAGTCTTGCTCTGTCATCCAGGCTGGAGTACAGTGGTGCAATCTCAGCTCACAGCAACCTCCGCCTGACAGGTTCAAGTGATTCTCCTGCCTCAGCCTCCCAAGTAGCTGGGATTACAGGTGCCCACCACCACGCCTGGCTAATTTCTGTATTTTTAGTAGAGACAGGGTTTCACCATGTTGGCCAGGCTGGTCTCAAACTCCTGACCTCAGGTTATCAGCCTGCCTCGGCCTCCCGGAGTGCTGGGATTACAGGCGTGAGCCCACCGTGCCTGGCCTAGTTTTATGTAGTTATGACTGCATCTTCACATTTGTTTACATTTCTCTGTAAGTTGTATGTAAGTTTTGATACATTTTAACTTTTTATAATAGATTTGTATATATTTTATGGTAATCAATGATAAACTAGTATCTACATATATTAAATACATTGATGACATAGTAACTTTTTTTTTTATTTTTAAAAGTGTTTTTAGGCTACACAGTTGGTTTGCAAGTTTTTTCAAATTGTCACAAATCTCCAAAATAAAATTTCAATATATTTTCTGAAAAAAATTTATATAAAAGTGGACCCTCACAGTTTAAACCCTTGTTAAAGGACCAGCTGTATAATATAAATAACTTTTTAAAAAGCTGATATAACTTTGTTTTGCAAGTAGTTTTTGGATTTATATTTTTATTATTTAAATGTAACTACTAAATTATTTCTCTACTTTGGTTTTTTTTTTTTTTTTTTGAGATGGGTTCTTGCTCTGTCATCCAGGCTAGAGTGCAATGGTGTGATCTCTGCTCACTGCAACCTCTGCCACCTGGGTTCAAGCGATTCTCCTGCGTTAGCCTCCTGAGTAGCTGAAACTACAGGCATGTGCCACCACACCTGGCTGATTTTTTGTATTTTTAGTAAAGACGGGGTTTCACCACATTGGCCAGGCTGGTCTCAAACTCCTGAACTTGTGATCCGCCTGCCTCAGCCTCCCAAAGTGCTGGGATTACAGGCATGAGCTACTGCGCCCAGCCTACTTTGGTTTTATAAACTTGATGCTTCTGCCAGATTCAACCTTTGATTATTTTTAAATTGCCAAAAAAAATTTCTCATTTGACATTCTTCTTTAGCTGAAAGATAGCCTAAATGTAATTGAAAATGTAAACATCTTGATATTTATAAAGTTGCATTTTTTCTATGTGTTTTTCAATCGCTTGAAATTAAGAGTACCTACAATTTTATTTTCATTATCTACTATAAAATTGAATACAGAGATACACATAACTCATCTTTGATTTTGTAGGAATTGCACGTAGGTGAAAACCAGATTGAAATGTTAGAGGCAGAACATCTTAAACATCTGAATTCAATTCTTGTGCTAGACCTGAGGGATAACAAGTTAAAATCTGTTCCAGATGAAATTACACTACTACAGTCCTTGGAAAGGCTTGACCTAAGCAACAATGATATTAGTAGGTAAGTTTAAATATGAAATGAATAGAAATTGTGTTTGTATTTGGTTATAATTCATAATTTGAAACATTTGTTTAAAAACCATGAGGTTCCTTTTTTCTAAATTGAATTCACTAAATATTGATTGAGCAGTAATTATGAACAGATAAAGAAAGATTAATTAGGTTTTGTCTTTAACAGCAAGCTAGATATGATAATAGAGGCAGACATATTTATGACTTACTCTAACTAGATTATCATTAGTGTTAGTATTATTACTCTTACTAGAGTATAATTTAGTTCTAGTTACCCCCTAGAACTAAATTCTAAAAACGCTGAAATATATTTACTTTAAAAGCATTGCCATAGCACTGTTTCCCAAATATGGGTATGTATTAGAATCATTTGAGAAACATTGAGAAAAAAAAAATACAGTTTCTGGGACACTAATGAATCAGAATCTCTGATGATGGGACCCTAGAATTTTTGTTCTTTGTTTTCTTTAAAACAGTCCTAGAATTTGATGCTTCTGGTCTTCCAACCAGTAATGAACTGGGAACCATGTATAAAAACCCTTTCTTTGTTTTATTCCTTTACCCTAGAATGCTTTTTTTTTTTTTTTTTTGCCTAATAGTATTTCGTTTTTCATTTTAAGTCCACATCTGGTTTCTGCTACTCCCTTCTCCCCCTTAAAGCCTCACCAGTGTCTATATCCCTACTCTCATGGCAACTTGACTTGTTTAGCATTTATCTTTTTATATCATACTCATTTGTTAATATGTAACTTACATACAATAAAATTTACCAATCAAGCATACAACTTGATGATTTTTGGCAAAGGTATGTATTTGTGTAACCATAATCACAGCCATGTAGAACATTTCTATCTCCCTAAAAAGTTTCCTCATACCTTTTGCAGTCAATTCCTTTTCCATACCCCAACCCCTGGCAACCACTGATGTGCTATGTTACTACAGTTTTGTCCTTTTTAGAATGTCACATAAATGGAATTACATAGAATGTAGTTTTTGTGTCTGACTTCTTTCATGTAACAAAGTTTTTTGTGATTCATTCATGTGGTTGTATGTATCAGTAGTTTTATTTTTATTGGTGAATGTTACTCTATTGTACAGAGATAGATATACCACAGTTCATGTGTCTTTTCAGTAGTTAGTTGATGGACATTTGAGTTATTTTTGATTTTTTGCTATTGTAAACCTCTGTGTGCAAGTTTCTGGTCGACATTATTTTCATTTCTCTTGAGTAAACGCGTAGCAGTGTGTTTGCTTAGTTGTATGGTGACCATATGTTTAAAGACTCCACTTTTGAAAGTGACTGTACTATTTTATATTCCCACTAGCATTGTAAGATAATACTTATTATATTTTAGTTACCTGTATGTGTTCTTTTCCTGTGTTCAACTGAGGACTTGAGAACAAGAATCTTGCTATCACTATACCTGTGCCCTATATTTTGTAGATGCTTAATAGATTTTATTGATAGTGAATTTTTGTGTATAAATGGTTTTTTAAATGTGCCAGAGATGAAGATGACTTTCCTTATTGAATGGAAATATGAATTGGGCATTCAAAAAATATCTTTTTCTTTCTATTTGTCATCTTTTTTCAATTAGAATTTTGTTTCCTTACTCTAAGTGCAAAATCAGAACATTTAGTATCAGTCAGGATGTCTATCTTGAATCACTGATTCATTCAAATTTATGTTTAACATTTACTTTTTTAGCAAATGTTATAATTTAACAAATGTTTTATAGCTCACATTCTTTTTAAATTAATCCCAATATGACAATTTTGAAAACAAATCTGATTTTTCTTTTATATGTTTAGCATTTATCTTGAAGGGAAATGTTTTAGGTCTGCATTACTTGGCCTTTCTTTGAGGCTATTCTGTGATACGTTGTTTGCCGTATGTTGTTTTATAGTTAACTATGGTTGGAGTATACTTATATTTGATGCTTTCCCTGAAATCAATTTAATCTTTTATAGTCTTCCCTATTCATTGGGGAACCTTCATTTGAAATTTTTGGCATTAGAAGGAAATCCTTTGAGAACAATTAGAAGAGAAATTATAAATGTAAGTATATTTGGAATTCAACTCTTTGTTAAATTGAAATTCAGACACATATGTTGATCTATAAAACTGCAAGGCATGTCTTGGTGAATGTCTTTGTCTCCATCCTTTTAGAAAGGAACACAAGAAGTCCTAAAATATCTACGAAGCAAGATCAAAGGTACTTTAAAATTTTCTCTTATATTTTGAAGGGTTCATAAAAAGTGAAGAATTAATAGTACATAAATTTAAATGTCTTTTGGGTGTACATATTTGGAAGTAGTAGATCCTGGCAGGTGTGGCTAATTCTAAATCCATATAGTCTGTAAGTATGCTGAGGTTATAAAAATATCTTTAAACTTACAATAATAATGTTCTGTCTGTAATCTCTTTGAATTGTGTTAAGTCTGCCAATTAGAAAATTTAACAAGAAAGATTCAGTAAGCACTTAGTACTTCAGCTTTGAAAAAGGAGTAAAACTTGACTTTCAGGATATATGGGTTCTATTGACTAGAAAGTGTATTGACAGGTATTTCATTATCTATTTTTCTTGCCCAGATTTGCTAAACTCTGACAAAAATTAAGACAAAACACACTTTTCAGGATATGTTAATTTAGCAAGAATATGTACTAAAAGTGAAAATAATACAATAAATTAATTTTTAGTAATTTACTAAACATGTCATATACCCAGTTTTTATTTGTCTATCATTATAGAATAAACTAAAACATTTTGAAAAAAAAATAGTTGTACGAGTGCTTTGCTAAGTAACAAACCACTCCAAACCACAATGGCTAAATGTGGTAGCTGTTAATTTAGTTCACAACTTTGTTAGTTATGCATAGCTTAGCTTAGCACTATGTTGCCAGTCAACATATATTAAATGAGTAAGATAAATGCATAGTTTAGCTATTTTTTCTGCTTTATCCTTCAAGTAAATTATTAAAATAATTTTCTAAGACTCTTATTTTCTATCAAGGAAAATGTTTCCTTCTCCAAATATGCTTTCTCGTCCAGAACAAATTGATTATTCTGTCATGAATCAGTTAGAGGTCATGTCATGTCAGACTGATCAAAATTACAAGAACAGAAAGCCAAGATGAACTTAGTGTAAGTTACAGTTATGTACAAACATTTCTGTTAGAGAGTTTCTATCCAAAGATGGGAGAGTGAATCCATTCATATAATTTTATTCTTTCCAGAAACCCTACAAAAAGAAAATTGGTAACGGAAATGTTTTAAAGGTATACTTCCATAAAGATAGGGAGAATGGGGGAAAAATAAAATAATAAACATGTGGACATTGGAAAGTGAGTTGTTTAGTTGGTTTAGGCTACTATAACAAAATATCTTATACTGTAATTTATAAATAACAAATTTATTGCTCATGGTTCTAGAGAACTGTGATCAAAGCACCAGCAGATTTGGTGTCTGGTAAGGACCTGTTTCTCATAGATGGCATCTTCTTCATGCTTTCACATTGCAAAAGGAGGCTAAAAAGCCCCATAAGACTTCTTTTATAAGGGCACTATTCCCATTCATGAGGGCTCTGCCCTCAATATCTAGTTACTTTACAAAGGCCCTACCTCTTAATACTGTTACCTTGGTGGTTAGATTTCAACATAGGAATTTTGGGGTAACACATACATTTAAGCCATAGCATAACAGAACAGATGGTGACTGAGTTAGTAGATCAGAAAGACCTTTTGGCTATTACAGATAATGCTGTAATAAACATTCATGTACAGGTTTCAGTGTGAATGTATGTTTTCATTCCTCTTGGGTATATATACCTAGGAGTAACATATTTCTCGGTCATATGATAACTCTATGTTTAATCATTTGAGGAACTGCCAAACTGTTTTCCAAAGCAACTGCACCAATTGACATTCTTACCAGTAGTATATGAGGGTTCTGATTCCACCACATTCTCATCAACATTTGTTATCTAATTCTGATTCTAGCCATCTTGTTGGGTCTGAAATGGCATCTCATTGTGGCTTTGATTTGCATTTTTTCTGATGAGTAATAATGTAGAGCATCTTTTCCTGTGCTTTATTAGTCATTTGTGCATCTTTAGAGAAATGGCTATTCAGATTCTTTGTCTGTTTTTTAATTTTTTTTTTTTTTAATCATTGAGCTGTAAGAGTTCTTTACATATTTTAGATACAAATCCCTTGTTAAATAAATGATTTGCAAATATTTTATAGTTCTCTGTGGGTTATCTTTTCATTTTCTTGATGTTGTTCTTTGAAGTATAAAAGTTTTAATTTTGAGCAAGTCCAATTTTTCGTTTTTTCCTTTTTTTGTTCTTTTTTTTTTTTATATCTAAGAAAGCTTTACAAAATCCTAGGTTATAAAGATTTGGCCTATACCTCTAAACATTTTATACTGCCATTGTTTTACAATTTAGGTCTTTGATCAATTTTGAATTACTTTTATATGCAGTGTGAGGTAAGAGTCCAATTTCATTGTTTTGTATGTGGCTATTCAGTTTCTCAGCACCATTTGTTGAAAAGAGTATTCTGGCTGGGCGCAGTGGCTCACACCTGTAATCCCAGCACTTTGGGAGGCCAAGACGGGCGGATCACGAGGTCAGGAGATCAAGACCATCCTGGCTAACACGGTGAAACCCTGTCTCTACTAAAAATACAAAAAAAAAAAAAAAAAATTAGCCGAGCGTGATGGTGGCTGCCTGTATTCCCAGCTGCTTGGGAGGCTGAGGCAGGAGAATGGCATGAACCCAGGAGGCGGAGCTTGCAGTGAGCTGAGATTGCGCCACTGAACTCCAGCCTGGGCGACAGAGTGAGACTCTGTCTCAAAAAAAAAAAAAAAAAAAAAAGAGAAAAGGAAAGAGTATTCTTTCTACTTTGAATGGTCTTGGCATTCTTGTAAAAAATCAACTGACTATAAATGTATTGGTTTATTTCTCCACCATCAGTTTTATTCTATTGATCTATATGTCTGACCTGTGCCAGTTCCAAACTGTCTTGATTACCATTGCTTTGTAGTAAGTTTTGAAATCAAATTAGAAAGATTGAGGGCTCCTACTTTAGGAGGGCTCCTCTTCTTTGTCAGGATTGCTTTGGCTATTATGGATTTCTTGCAATTCCGTATGAATTTTAGAATTAACTTGTTAATTTCTACAAAGATATAGATTATGCATTTCTGTAGATCAGTTTGGGGAATATTATTATAACAATATTAAGTCTTCCATTCATGAGCATGGAATGTTTTTCCATTTTAGATCTTTAATTTCTTTACACAATGTTTTATAGTTTGCAGAATATAAGTTTTATACTTCTCTTAAGTTTATTTCTCAGCATTTTATTCCTTTTGATGCTATTAGGCATATAATTGTTTTCTTAATTCCATTTTTGTGCTGTTATTTGCAACTGTATAGGAATACAATGATTTTTGAATGCTGATCTTGTACCCTGCAACCTTGATGAAACTATTAGTTCCAATAATTTTTTGGTGTATTCCTTTGGATGTTCTATAAACAAGACTATGTTATTTGCAAATAGAGATAGTTTTACTCTTCCTTTCCATTCTGGATGCCTTTTATTCCTTTTCTTGCCTAATTCCCTTGGCTAGACCTACCTCCAGGACAGTACTGAATAGAAGGACTGAGACTGGACATCTTTGGGGGAAAGCTTCTAGTTTTTCATCATTAAGTAACATTAGGTTAGCTGTGGGTTTTTTGTAGATTCCCTTTATTATGTTAAGGAAGTTCCCCTCTGTTTCTGGTTTTTCAGTGTGTTTATCCTAAATGAGTTGTTGAGTTTTTGTCAATTTTTTTTTCTGCATCTGTTGAGATGGTTGTGTGATTTAAAAAATTCTGTTAATATGCTGTGTTACATTAATTGATTTTCAGATGGTAAATCAACTCGCATCCATGGTTAAATCCCACTTTGTAATGGTGTATAATACTTTGTAAATGTTGCTAGATTTGTTTTTTAGTGTTTCGTTGAGAATTTGAGAGTTTTTGATCTGTTTGTTTTCTTGTGATTTTTTTTTTTTTTTTTTTTTTTTTTCCTGGTTTGGGTGATAGCCTAATAATGGCATCATAAAATGAGTTGGGAAATGTTCCCTCCTCTTTTGTTTTTTGGGTGAATTTATGAAGAGTTGATATTAATTTTTTGAATGTTTGGTAGAATTCAGCAGCGAAGCCATTTAGGTATGGGCTTTTCTTTGTGGTTAGGTTTTTTTATTACTCTTCACATGTTATAGATATACTCAGATTGTCTGTTTCTTCTTGAGTCAGTTTCGGTAGTTTGCATCTTTCTAGGAATGTGTCCATTTTATCTGAGTTATTTAATTTGTTGGCATATAGTTGCCATAGTTTATCCTTTCCATTTTTGTAAGGTTAGTAATAATGTCCTCTCTTTCATTTCTGATTCTAGTAATGTGAGTCTTCTCTCTTTTTTTCTAGGCCACACTAGCTGAAGATTAGTCAATTTTGTTGACCTTCCAAAGAATGAGCTTTTAGTTTCATTGATCTTCTCTATTGTTTTTCTGTTCTCTATTTCATTAATTAACACTGTAATTATTTGTTTCCTTCTAATTGGTTTAGATTTCTATTGCAGGTGTGACTGACTGGCGCCAGCGTTGTGAGTGGTTAAAGAATTTACCAAGACAGTTGTGGTAAAGAAAGGCAGATTTATTAGAGAAAGTACGAAGATACGTTGCAAGGGTGCAACAAGTAGCCCATTAGCAAAGGGGCTATCTGCCAAGAGGCAGGTGCTGGAGGGGAGTTTTATAGGTTCATGCTTGGAGAGGGCTATGCAGAACGAGGTCATGCTGCTGGGGCTGTGTACAGAGGGAGGTATTTGGGAACAGGATGTTGTGCCAGCAAGTTGTGATTAGAGTTGTCTATGATTAGCTGTCTCTTGGAAAAATTGTTCTCCCCCCACCCCACCCCTTTTAATTGTTGCTTACTTATCTTATCAGGACTCCAGAGTTTAGTTTGTTCTTTTTTTCTAGTATCTTAAGCTGGAAAGTTAGGTTATTGATTTTGGGATCTTGTTTCTTGACATAGGCATTTACAGCTATAAATTTCCCTCTAAGCATGGCTTTATCTACAGCTCATATGTTTTGGTATGTCGTGTCATTTTCATTCACCTCGAAGTATTTTATGATTTCTCTTTTGATATCTTCTTTGACCCCATTGGTTGTTT